GCAGCCCAAGAGACAGAGAATCGCAAGGTAGGTTTCTCCAAACCGTTAGGCAGTACTTCAATTTAGTCCGCAAAAGTGCTATTGAACAGGTATAAATCACCATTAATTTATTCCAGGATTCCAAATGTATAGAAAGTAGCCCAACTGATACCTGACCAGATACGATTATTGTAATCATTTATTGGTTGTTGCTTTGGTGGGGAACTTTTTTATATGTTTGTTGGTTGCTTGTTTGCTTGGTTGATTGGTTGGTTGGTTGGTTGGTTGGCTGGTTGAATGGTTGGTAGGTTGGTTGGTTGGAGTTGTTCGGGGGTTTTTTTATGGGGAGGGGGTGAATACTTAAGAAACTGAGATCAACAGTTTCAGTGCCTTTCTAAGTCATGCCATTAACAACAACAAATGCTACACGAGTATTTATCAAAGCAAGCGCCGGACTACAGGAAGTAAAAGACTCAAACACTGGAACATTTCACAGCAATAATACCGAAATTTCCATAGGTGAAAATTCTCAGAACACAAGTGAGAAAGCACCGTCACTTTCACTTTAAAAAATCACCCACACAAGCCAAAACACCAATCTCCTGCTTTGGCAACAAACAAATCACATTATAAATAGAATCTAAATCCGAGAAGTACGAACAAAATGAAGGGCTGATTTATTTTTTTTTCGCTTTTCCTTGAAATTTCAGTTAGCCCAACACCATTGGTGAACACGACACAGCTTTCCACACAATCGGGGTGTCAATTATTCGTCATTGTTTAGAGGAAAAGAAAAAAAAATAGCAGCGTCCGAAACAGAGAGGTCCACCACAGACGAGGCAAAAAGTGCGCATTATAAAAGTCAGCGGCGACAACAAGCGGGCAGCGCGCACCGTGGACACCACGGGGGATCTTGTTGGGAACTCGGCGAGGCCGGAGCGACGAGGCGACGGAAAACCTCTTGTCGGATGTGCTGGCGGCGGAGTCCTTAGATTCAAGGATTAGACAGACGGGAGAGTGGTTTAATTAAGGAAAGAGAGGCACACCGACATAGTAATAGGGACAAAAGTTTGGTTTTATTTGTTTGTTTTTTTAATTTGTTCGGGCTTTTTTGTGTGGGGGGGGTGTTGTTGTTGTTGTTGTTGTTGTTGTTGTTGTTGTTGTTGTTGTTGTTGTTG